AAGTCTCCTGGCTCTAGCCAGGACAGCATGCTGGCCCTGACCTGGCTAGAGGAGGAAGGAAGTGGTTTTTTTGGATGGAAACAGTTCTTATGAAGCAGAACCAGCCCCCTCCTATAAAATAGGCAAAGCCACCTGCTGTTACATCAGCAATGCAGACCCTAACCAGAAGCAGAAATACTCAATCCACTCCAGGGCAGATATCTTTTGAGTTCATACAAGATAAGGGGAGATTCCCAAGATTTCAAATTTCAGGTGTCTGCTGCACTGACATACTATAGCTAAGGCTGAGCTAATGAAGATTAATGGATTCCCTTTAAAACAAACCAAGGATATGAGCATAGATAGAACTCACTTCTCTGGAAAGAAGCCTGAGAAGCAGGGTCTGTGCCGAACACATCCCTCCTGTTGGTCACCACTTACAACCAGGAGTTCTCCTGTGAAGATTCAGAATGCAACCTGTCAACATTTGGTAGGTGATCAAAGGACCACCCTGAAAATTCTATCCTGGAATCCCTTTCATAGGTTTAATTCTTCTTGTTGAAATATATGTGTAAGATAATAGGGGGGGGAAGCTAGTGAGGCAAGGCTTGACAAGTCAAATATCTTTAAAGTGATGGGTGGTAGATGAAAATATAAAAGCATATTATCAAATTTCTGAAGGGGGGAAAGGATTTCCTATATACAAAAGCAGTGGAAGAAATCACAACAGGAAAAATAGCACAATATTTTTAATGTTAAATTTCTATATGTTACAAAAATGACAAAAAGTTAAAATAAAACAATGTATCTTAAAAACAGGCCAATATCCTTTACATATAGAGAACTCTTTAAAAAATTAAAGGAAAATCAGGAAGATCTTGACAAACAGATGGGTAGCAGACCATTTTCACAAATAAAACACAAAGAAATGGAATACTTTGGGGAAAATATACCACCTCACTATCAGTCAAAGAAATATACATCAAAGCAACTATGAGAAGCTACTGTTTCTCAAGACAGGCAAGTATCTTTTTAAATGAAATCTCCCAACAGTGAAAAGGGATTGGTTCAAAGGGCATTTTCCACACACGGAGGGTAGTGGGTATACAGCACAAGTCTTGGGGGAAGCAATTTAGCAAATCCAGCTCTAGCTTCTGAACTGGTCATACCCTTTGATCCGGTAATTCTGTTCCTGGAAGTCTGGCCTAAGGACATATTTTAAAACAGAGATCAGACTTTTTATGCAAAGGAGCTACTGTTTCTGGGAGGCATGATTAATAATGATAAGCAACTGAAACAATCTAAATGACCCTAATGAGTATGCTGGATACATAACTCTGGCTTATGCATATGGCAAATTATGCAGAATGAAAAGTGATTTTTTCCATCTTTAATAATTACACATGTAATAGAGAAAACTGTTCTCATTATTTTAAAAAAATTTCAAACATAGAAAGCAGTATAGAAGGCAAATGCTCTCCCTTCTTATCCTTGCTCTTAACCACTTTTCTTTCCCACCCCCAGGGCTAATCCCCTTCCAGTAGGAGGCACCAGCAGCAGTCTGATGTGGATCTCTCCAGACATTTTTCTAGGCATTTATTTACATGTGTGCATATAACCTCAGATATGCAGGTGATAACACCACCATAATGGCAGAAAGTGAAGAGGAACTAAAGAGCCTCTTGATGAAGGTGAAAAAAAGAGTGTGGAAAAGCTGGTTTAAAATTCAACATTCAAAAAACTAAGATCATGGCATCCAGTCCCATAACTTAATGGCAAATAGATGGGGAAAAAATGGAAACGGTGACAGACTTTATTTTCTTGGGCCCCAAAATCACTGTGGATGGTGACTGCAGCCATGAACTTAAAAGATGTTTGCTCCTTGAAAGAAATGCTATGACAAACCTAGATAGCATATTAAAAAGGAGAGACATCACTTTGGTGACAAAGGTCCATCTAGTCAAACCTATGGTTTTTCCAGTAGTCATGTACGGATGTGAGTTGAAACATAAAGAAGGCTGAGCACTGAAGAATTGATGCTTTAGAATTGTGGTGCTGGAGAAGATTCTTGAGAGTCCCTTGGACAGCAAAGAGATAAAACCAGTCAATCTTAAAAGAAATCAACCCTGAATATTCACTGGAAGGATGGTGCCAAAGCTCCAATGCTCTGGCCACCTGATGCCAAGAGTCGACTCATTGGAAAAGACCCTGATGCTGGGAAAGATTGAAGGCAGGAGAAGAAGAGGGTGACAGAGGATGAGATGGTTGGATGGCATCATTGATTCAATGGACATGAGTTTGAGCAAACTCAGGGAGATAGTGAAGGACAGGGAAGCCCAGCCTCTGCAGTCCATGGGGTCGCAAAGAGTCAGACACGACTAAGCAACTGAACAACAAAAAATGTATCTCAAAGAACTATAAAAATAACATGGAAAAATGAAGTTATATAACAAGCACAAATAAACCTTCAATTTTGATAATACTTGTTTGAAAGAAAAATGTAAAAGTCAAACAGGGCATTTATTTAAAAAGAAGAAAACATTAGAGTATAAAGCTGCCAACTTAAACTGACCTGTTTGCTTGCAGATAACATGGAATATTATACGCTGGTCTCTTGAATTGCTTATCACTCAAGACAACTCATAGATATTTAAAATATTTTCAACTCACAGAAAATCCTGATTGTACAAAACCATGGAGAAAAAATTGTACACATCATCTCTATTAACAGAGAGAAAACATCTCTATTAGAATTATTCTGACAAGTTTCAATTTCACTAGAATCTCCAAGAGTCAATATACTGGTATCAAGAGGAATGTATCAAATAATTCAAGCCCAGCGGGCACCTTTCAGATTCTGATATTACCTATGTTGTAGTTATAATTCCTACTAACATTCTATGGGACAAAAGCCAATTCAAATCTGGAACAATATTGCATACTCAGTGGTCCTTACTTAGTCCTGGCTAGCCCCTGACGAGCCAGAATTTCACTGATGCTATTTATTACATCTGAGAGGGTCATTAGCAAGATTAAATAAGAGGACGTATGCAAAGCAACTTTAGCATCATGCCCAGCACAAAAATACAGGTTCACTTCCCTGGAAGAACCCAAACAAAGGAACTGTGCCTCCATTGTATTATTATACATTTACTTAGCAATCTGTAATTTTCAAAGTTCATCCATCATTCAAATGCAAAATAGGAAGAAGATAGGTCAATGTATGTTTCCAATTATCTTTGAATTTAAAAGATTTTGCTTCAAGGCTCCTTTCCCTGGCCCAGCATTTAACTTGTAAGAAGGTAACCAGACATGATAAAATCAGTTCAGCTAATCTTTGAAAATAAAGACCATAAAAATTCTCTATGGGCGAGAGCTATCAAACTTCTTTTTGAAAGCAAGGTCCCCCTCCCTCTTCAAATTCAAGCTTATTAGATGTCTTGTTAAACAGTGTTGAAAGTAGGCCTGGTCTGGCTGAAGCAGGGTCTAAAACCACCACCGGACCTCCTCTTACTGGGCGGTCCCTCTGCAAAACTTGTGAACACACCTTTTAAGACTCTTTCATTCTATGAATGTGGAAACGAAGGCACAGAGACGTCCAGAACCTTCATCAAGGTTCTGGAATCCCATAAAGCCAAGCCTAGGATCTTTCCACCTCATCCTACTTGCCTCCTCAGAGTTAAGACCACACACACAGTCTGTGTTCTCAGGACCAAAGGCTGACATTTCTTACACATAATGCTGAATCCATAAATGCTGAAACTATATAAATCTAAGACAGGCAGCTGTAATTGTAAATAAATTTAACAGCTTCCACTTCACAAAAGTCAGATGGAAGAATATTAGTAATCAGTCTTCTTTTAAGGGGATAAAAATAGCATTCCCTGGCTGTCAAAGAATTACAACCCACCCATAGGGGAATTTATCAGTTTCTAGAACAAAGATAAAGGAAGTCAAAGGACCACCTTCCAGAATATAAGAGAGGTAAAGGGTAAGTAGCCCTATTACTGCTAGATACATGGAGGGTCTGGTAACAGAGATTGCTCTTTGATTACCCATAGACACTTTCCCCTTCTTCTTCTTCTTTTTTTTTTTTTTTTAACATTTATTTGGCTGCTCAGGTCTTAGTTGTGGCATGTGAAATATTTTTAGCTGTGGCATGTGGGATCTAGTTCCCTGACCAGGGATAGAACCTGAGCCCTCTGCATTGGGAGCAAGGAGTTTTAGCCACTGGACCACCAGGGAAGTTTCTCCCACTTCTTTCTTAATTACAGAACTCTGATTTTATGCAAGGTGGCCCCAGCTAAGAGATTAAATTTCCCAGCCTCCCCTGCAGGTACTTATAACTCAATGACTAAGTTCTGGTCAATGAAATTTAAGTAATCATTGGACAGAACTTCTAGGAAAGACTTTAAAGGAATATGGCCTTTTGCCAGTTTTTTCCTTTCTGTTTTCCTTTCTATAATCTGGAACTTGGATGTGATAGCTGAAGTTCCAGCAGCTATTTTGTTATTTTGAGGATATAAACCTCACACTGAAAATGATAGAACCTGAAGAGAGGAAAAGACCTCAGTCCCTGGTAACCTCATAAAGAAGCCATCAAAATGGCCCTATAACACTGTACCTCTAAGCTTATGTGTATGTGTGTGAAAGAATAAATCCTTATAATTTTTTAAATCAATACTAGAAGCCAAACACAATCCCTAACCAATATTGACCTTGGACTCAGAAGCAGAAGCTACAGAATCCGTGCAGAGATAGGTCAGGAATGTGGTGATTCTGGGAAAGGAAAAAGTTCATCACATGCCCTCCCCTACCCCTAGCCAGATTTTCAAGAAAAATTCCAGAGGAGGTTAGGGGAGCGCAAGTACCCCCAAGTCAGATGACTAGTAGTTGAACTTACCAAAGTTGGACAGGAAAAGTATATAAGTCTGTGAAAGCGGAGGGTGTCAGGGTGACCAGGGTGTGGACCTGCATCACTTTATCCACCACATCTGGCCAGGAGAGGGCCCCATTTTTACCTCTTCCAGGTTGCAGAACTCCTGACGCAGGGCCAGCTTCAGATCAGCGCAGTCTCTCCCGCATCTCAATGCTACCAGACACTCCTTGGTCAAATGCGGGACCTGATCGGAGGACACAGGTTCTGAGCAGAGAAGGCGGAGGGCATTCCGTGCTCCTGCTTCGCCTGACAATGCAGCCAGAGCTCTGTCCCTCTGCCAACAGTGCCACCTGACGGCGACCTCTGTGGTTTCAGGAATCCACGTGTCACAGCACACTGGTGAACAAGGTGCTTTAAAGGGGGCTCTCTGTTACTCCTTACTTGTTCAGCTATTTCCATACTGTGCAATCTTAGGTGAGGCATTTACCTTCTTTAAGCCTCAGTGTTCTCATCTGAAGAATGGACACAAGAATAGTACCCACCTTAAAGGGCAGTGGTGAGGATTAAACAGATTAACCTTTATAAAATAGTTAGAACAGTGCTTGGCACATCGCTAGTGCTCCATAGACATCAGTCACTAATATCATTGAGTCATTTTGGTTTCTTTTAAAAAAAAACTATCATAAAATTTCTCCATAACACTCTCTCCCAATATCAACAGTTGTCCCCTTTTCTCTCTTCTTAACATTTCCTGGACAGTTGGCACTCTTGTTCCCCATAAGGGGCAATCTCCTTCTGTGCATTACCTTTTTCACACCCCGATATTTTTTTCACCTGAGACCTTGGAAATAGTTCCTTCAAAGTATTTTCACTCCTTCAATATTCCTTGTCTCAAGTTACACAGTCATAACTATGCCATAATCATAACTCTTGAGACTGCCAGTTCCACTAGAAAAGTAGCTACTGGCAAAGACTTTAACCTTTAATATCAGAGGTCACAGCTTTACTGTAATTCCACACCAGTTATCCTCCTAAGGCACACACAGGTATTAAAACAAATCAATTTCACCAATGATTTGACTTTTAAAATGGACTGGAGTTTGAGAAAGACATACAAAGTAAAATAGAGTGTTAAGTGTTTTTGTTTTTGTTTTTAAATGGATATACCTTATAGAATAGCTCCAATAACATCTTTTGGCGAGCTCGCTCATAAGGGTCATATGGGTACAGCTTCCTTCCAGGATAAGCGTCATCCAGGTACTCACAAGCGATGACAGATTCATAGATCAGTTGACATTTGCTGTTTTCCAGGACAGGAATTTGGCCAAAAGGATGTTTTGTAAAGTACCATTCAGGCTTATTTCTCAGGTTAATGTTGATAACTTCATGTCTTATAAAGCAAAGGGAAAACAGGACAGAACAAAAATGAGAGGATTAGGCAGACACTCATCTTTTTTTTTTTTTTTCCAAAGTGCACAAAGACCCCATGTGAGATCTTAGTTTCTAGACCAGGGATCAAACCTGTGCCCCATGTGGAACAAGTACAGAGTCTTAACCATTGGACTCCCAGGGAAATCCCCAGACACTCATCTTAAAAGCAGAAACAATCAATCTATAAAATTAAAATTTGCAACAAGTTTTTTAAATTGAGGTTTGTACAAAGAAAAGTACATAACAACATCATTCTTCTTTTCAGCATTAGGATGTGTTCGATGTTTTCTATGCCTTATCCCGTTTGCTCTCCATGATTCCCATGAAGTGAACTGGGGAATCATGATGAGGTGCAAACAAGGGAAGGCAAAGAAATCATTTAACACATCCCTTCTGAGAAATAAGGCTCCTTGTGGTTCAATCTCTTGCCCAATATCATCCACCAGGAGGTAGCAGAGCCAAGATGGGAAGCCAGGCAGTCTGACTCAGAGCTCACAAGCTTAACCACGGCACCGCAGATTTTAGTACATTTTAAAGTCTGTAAGTACAAATCTGATATCTGGAGACATTAATTTTCGTTTGCCACAACTGGAGGGAGGGGGATTCTACTGGCATCTAATGGGCAGAGGCCAGGGACGCAGCAAGATATCCAACAACACACAGGACAGCTCCTCCCCCTCACCAAACACACAAAGCTGAGAATCATCTCCCCCAAATGTCAGCAGCGGCGAGGGTGCCGAGGGTGAGAAACCCCGCCCTAAAGAAGGATTTCCATCAATTCACAAGCTGCCACTTCATCACTGTAGGTAAACATCAGTCTATTGTTTTCTTTTTTCTTTTTAAAAAAGTAAACTTTGGGCCAACTAGAATTGAGCAAGAGGGAATAACCTGGAAAAAAGCCATAGACACTCCACAGAGCAGAATTATATAATTTTTTTTTAAAGTCTCTGTAATAATCTCTGCATCTCTATAACACAAAACTTTGAAGTCATCCCCTAATGATACATATTGGAGGCTGGAGTAACACTTTAGCTTTGAGCTGGCTCTGTGCAACCTCCCTCATTCCAGTAAAGTTGCCCTGCCTTCAAAATCCAGACCTCCTTTGCAGGAGCTAGTCTTGCAAAATTCCTTCTACGACCGGTGTGCACCCATTTTTCAGGTGTGTGGGAAACCTCTTGATAGCAGTTCTTCCCATTTCTTTGTTTGGAACTATTTGTTCATTCATTCAAAAAATAGTTTTAAGTACCTATTACTGGCCAGGTTCTCTTCTAGCCCACGAATAAGAAAGACAAAGTCCCTGCCTTCAGGAACATACATTTGTGTGTGTGTGAGAGAGAGAGAGAGACAGTGTATGTGAGAGTGTGTGTGTGAGTGTGGGTGTGGGTGTTGGGGAAGGGGCAATGGAAGTGAGGCTGGAGAGTGTGGAGGAAAAACAGATAAGTAAGGAAACGTTGTTAGTGCAATAAATGGAACAGAACTGACCTGAATATACTTGGGGTGGGATCTGGGCTGCATTTCATAGAGCTGTCAGAGAAGGCCTCCGTAGCCTCCGCGGTCCCCTCTTTCACAAACGTTAGGGAAGAAACCCAGCTCACCAGAGCCATCATTCGGTTTATTCCGAATGGTCCTAACAGTTTCCTGCAGAGACCTGATTCTGCATTTCAGGAATGCCCACTCAAGAACCCACCTGCCCTCTGCTAACCGTTTACTGACTTCGTCTCAGAAGAAAGTCACAGAGAGCCTGTGACACCTAAGCGGGGCGCCCCAGATGGTGAACGTTCCCGAGCGCCTATGGGGCCTCCCGCCGCTCACCTGATGCCTTTGGCCCGGAGGACCAGGCGCGTCCTGTGCGCGTAGGGACAGAACCTCATGCTGTAGAGGCGGATTACGCCTTCAGGGACCGGCCCTGGGGGGATGCTCCCTGCAGGTGGAGGGGGGTACGGGGAGGCGGATTAGCCCTGTGTGCAGAGGGGCTCACTCGCCTTCCCAGGACCCCACGAGAGCCGCGGGCCTCCGCCTCCCGGGCCCCAGAGAGGACACTTTTTTTTTTTTTGCACGTGGCTTTTTTGTGGAGGAACCGCGATCCTCCTCGCCGCCGCGCTGGTCTGCGAGTCAAGGACCGGCAACCGCCTCTCCAGAGCCAACATCCAGCCACCCGGCACCCCCAGCCGGCGGGCAACTGTCAAGAGGACTCACCTTTCCCCAAGGTCCTGGTCGCGTCGTCAGTCATGCTCTCCCGGCGTCTGCGCAACGACCAACGCTCACAGTCTTTGCCGTGAGGCTTGCTACCGCCGGCGCAGGGTCCAAGGACAGCAGGGTTCCGGCGCGCCCCGCTGGCCCCAAATGCAACTTTGGAGCAACAGGGCTGTGGCGGGGTCGTAAGGAAGTGATCCAGGACGGCAGCTAAGATAATTCAACCTGAGGAGACAGAACCCCAGATTCAGAAACCAGCGTAGCAGGAGTGGGAAAAACAAACCAACCTGAGAAGCAGCCCTTGCTTTGAACTCACAACATCCTGCGCGGCTTTTTCTCTGCATTAAGAATCTGTGAAGAACAGGCATGTGAATTCCACTTATTCCAAGGGAGTTTAATACAAACTGACCAGGCTGACACTAACGTTTTCTTTCTCATTCGAAGCCCTCCCTCCTGGCCATACTCTGTACATGAGTGTACTTTATCTTAAAATAAGGCCAAGGGTTTCCCTGGTGGCTCAGTGGGACAGGACTTGGATCTCTGATCAGGGAAGATTCCATATGCCCAGAAGCAGCTGAGCCCATGCGCCACAACTATTAGGCCTGTGCCCTAGAACCTGGGAACCAAATGCCATCCAACCATCTCATCCTTAAGTGTTAGCTCTTTATTATCATCTGCATCTCTCTCAAGGAGAGGCCACATGGATGAGAAGCCCAGGCACAGCAACTAAAGAGTAACCCCTGCCGCTTGCCATCTATGCAACAATGAAGACCCAGTACAGCCTAAATAAGTTAATTCATTATAAAATAAGGCCAAACTTTTTCATCATCTAGCAGATAAGAAGAAAAACTTAGTGTTAAGATCTTGCATGACCCTAAAGTGTCTCCTTTAATTTTATGTCCTCACTACTTTAGTTCCAGCCTTATTTATGAGATTTTACTCGTTATGAAAAACTGGTAATGAATAGGAAACAAGATATCTAGAGGCAGAGACAAATCTGTGCGTGCTCTTCAACTCCCAGTATACATTTCAGAGCAGACCCTTTTTAATTACCAAGGACATACTGCCAACAGCCCAGCAATACAGAGGTCACTTGGATAGCTCTTCCATCTACATGAGATAAAGGGGGTAACTAGCCTTTGCTCTGACCCTAAATCACTGCAGATGGGGACTGCAGTCATGAAATTAAAAGACGCTTACTCCTTGGAAGGAGAGTTATGACCAACCTAGACAGCATATAAAAAGCAGAGACATTACTTTGTCAACAAAGGTCTGTCTAGTCAAGGCTATGGTTTTTCCAGTAGTCAAGTATGGATGTGAGAGTTGGACTATAAAGAAAGCTGAGCGCAGAAGAACTGATGCTTTTCAACTGTGGTGTTGGAGAAAACTCTTGAGAACCCCTTGGACTGCAAGGAGATCAAAATAGTCAGTCCTAAAGGAAATCAGTCCTGAATATTCATTGGAAGGACTGATGCTAAAGCTGAAACTCCAATACTTTGGCCACCCGATGCGAAGAGCTGACTCATTTGAAAAGACCCTGATGCTGGGAAAGATTAAGGGCAGGAGGAGAAGGGGATGACAGGATGAGATGGTTGGATGGCATCACCATCTTAATGGACATGAGTTTGAGTAAACTCTGGGAGTTGGTGATGGACAGGGAAGCCTGGCATGCTGCAGTCCATGGGGACGCAAAGAGTCGTACATGACTAAGCAACTAACTGAAATGAACTGACTGGTGCGTGAAAAAGGAACAGTCAACATATCCATGTCATGTGAGAGCTTCTGGTAGACAATGAAATGACTCCTGATCAGGTAAATGTGACACTCACATAAAGGAAGTATAGTATTTCAAATAGTTGACTTTCATATAAACAGATTCTAAAGGGAAAGGCCATATGAGGAATGTGAAACTCTCTAAACTCAAAGTAAATTATACTAACATGTATTTAATGCTTTATGTGTATTAACTCACTAAATCCTTAAAATAATCCTACAAGGGTTCTCTTCTTACCTCATTTAAAAAGACAAGTAAACTGAAGCTAGCAAGGTTAAGTCACTTGTCAAAAGCCTGATAACTAGTAAGAGGTGGAAGGAGGTTTATGAAGCCTGGAAGTTTGATTTCCAGGGCAAGTCACTCCATCTAGAACCTTAATCTATACCAGAGATGGGCAAACTTTTTCTGTTAAGGTCAAGACAGTAAACATTTTAGGCTTCTCAAGCCATCTTGTCTCAGCTACTCACCTCTACCCTTGTAAGGTGAAAAATAGCCATAGATAATATGTAAATAAATGGGCATGGCTATGTTCCAATAAATCACTATTTATGAATAGTAAATTTGAATTTCATATACAGGTATATTTTAACAGACTATTTTTTAGAGCAGGTTCACAGCAAAATTTAGCAGAATATAGAAAAGTTTCCTACCAACCTATCCCCACACATGCATAGTCTCCCCATCAACATCAGGGTGGTACACTTCTTATGATCAGTGGGTCTATATTGAAACATCATTATCACCCAAAATCTATAGTTTACATTATGACTCACTCTTGCTGAATTTCACATAGTTTTCACATGTTACAAATTATACTTCTTCACTGAAATGTTTTCCCATAACTATTCTTAGCTCTTTAACTACAAAGAAATGAGCAGTGGGCTCAACTTGACCCACTGGCTTTAGTTTGCCCATCCCTGGTATACACTGATGATGACTGGATTAGCAACCAAACTGAGGATTCCATTTGAAAAGTAAAAGGTTCCTGGGTCCATCTTTCTACTACACTAGAAGAGAATATATTTTCACATTGTGTCTCCTTATTCCCACCTTTTCAATAAAACCAACTCTGAGAGCTGGTAAATATTGTTTATTAAAAATACAGCTGACCCTTGAACAACTAGAGATTTCAGGGCACTGGTCCACCAGTGCCAGCCCTTCACATCTGTGCTTCTACACCTGCAGATTCAACCAAATGCAGACCATGTAATACTGTAGCATGTATTCAGTGAAAAAATCCATGGAAACATGGACCCTTGCAAATAAAACCCATGTTGTTCAAGAGTCAACTGTATACTTGTATTAATATATGGGAAGTAACGGGGTGAAGGGAGAAGGCAATGGCAGCCCACTCCAGTACTCTTGCCTGGAAAATCCCATGGATGGAGGAGCCTGGTAAGCTACAGTCCGCTGGGTCGCGAAGAGTTGGACACGACTAAGCAACTTAACTGTCACTTTTCACTTTCATGCATTGGAGAAGGAAATGGCAACCCACTTCAGTGTTCTTGCCTGGAGAATCCCAGAGACAGAGGAGCCTGGTGGGCTGCCGTCTATGGGGTCACACAGAGTCGGACACGACTGAAGTGACTTAGCAGCAGCAGCAGCATGGGGTGAAGGACTATTTGATGTAGTCAGGGGAGAATGGACAAAGGGGTGGAATGTCTTTCCTCTGAAGGGAAGGAATATTATGTCAAGGTTCTCACTTGGCTCTATATTCAAACCCTGACCTTGGCACTTAGGCAAGCTATCTAACTTCTTTGATCTTCATCTTCCTCACCTGTAAAATGAGAACACTAAGTACCTACTCTCTGGGTTTTGAGTATCAAATGCAATTGTTCAGGTGGCTATCCTCAGTATAGTAAGAGTTTAGTCTACTTCAAAATTAATGATTAATCCTAGTGAATAAGGACACATTTTTAATAGTATAGTACATTCTGATTTTATATCCAAAAAGATAAAATGCACTGCAATTGAGCTTTGCCTTGCACATCAGAATTAAAGTTCAACGCAGAATGCTTATTTCACCAGTTACCTATTTAACAACAACTGAATGGGCTGAATGCTGCAGGTTACATTTCAGTTTTTAATCTTACCACTGAACAATATGGTTACCCTAGAAAGATTTTAATTATGACATTTAAGTTTAATCCTATTTTCTCTTTGAGACTCAGTAATTACTGCTTGGAAATCCTCTTTGCAAATTTCCCTTGTTTATTATTATATCATGTTTACACCTCTATTATACTGAGTCACTCAAGCAAGGAATAAATGGTAATTAGGTTACATTAAACCTACTCCAAATTGGTTTCCAGAGACCAGAAATATGATCAGATCTGTTTTGAAAATGTGGAGATCTTCAGTTCTGGGTGAAGAAGTCTTAAGCTTTCTAGGAAAAAAAAAGTGCCACCACAGACATAATCTTTTCACTCTATTTACATGAGTCTCTGTTTTGAGGAGAGGAAATGGGGTTTGCATTTTGCAATTTTTTTAAGTTGTTTTGTCATACTAATCTTGGATAGTGGAAGAACTTGTAAGACATTCCTCTTAATATTTCAGAAGCTTGATTTACATGACAGATTATGTTACTGAGAGTTCCACTACTGTTCACCAAGTTCAAAGAGTTAGACAAGTGAGGAAAAAGGCTCTTTTACAAATGGGCCTAGATTTAGGACTTGTTTTCAAGAAGTTAGGATCATAAAGCATCTTGTGTTCTAATGTCTCTGGGATATTAAATAAGATTACTAAAGTTGTCAGTGGGAGAAGCATCCTCTTTGCAATGGGGCAGGGTCAAAGGAGGCTTTCTAAGTTTATAACTTAGAAAGTTATTTTATCTTATAACTTTTTATAAAAGTTATAACTTATGGAATCAAAGAAAAAATTAACAATTTTCCACTTGAATAAGCAATGGCAGATTTTCAAGATCCTAAAATAAGCCAAAATCAAACATTTGTAAAATCAAACAAAACACATTGGGTTTCGAAAAGGAATGTCAACACTTCTGATATAGCCCAGGCATAATAGCGGTGTGTCAAAAAGGTGGATACAGTCCTCTTCCAGCTCACTGTCTAAAACCTAAAAGTTGATGAATGAAGTGTCTGGGGCAGAGGTATATTCTTATTTTCAGAATGATCTGAATGACTATAAGAGCTCAGACTGGATTTGAATCTCCTCTTCAGCATTTACTACTAGCTGGGTGACCCTGGACGTATTGCAGCTTTCTATGCCTTAGTGTTCTCATGTGTAATTCCCAGTCAATGGTGCCA